GCCAACTTAGTTTTAACAGGCCACCGATGTCACGGTTAGACTGAAAGGCTATGAGGATGGTTGCAGCTATAGGTTGTAGGTTTTCAGATGATTTCACTAAAACTAAGTGGCAAAATGTGGAATGTTCTTATAGCACAGTAAATGTTACTGAATAACAATAAGTGATCTGTAGTTATGTGGAAAATGTTTCACACAATATAAAGCATTTTCTATATTCTGGTGGTTTTCAGAGAATTTAAAGGGGTCGTAGAATGAAAAACCGAGTTTCCATTGTCATCGATGAATGACGATAGTTCAGTGGTTGAAATGGACGTACAGAGAAGTTCAAACCCCATCAACACCTCCTTTCTCTGAAAATCTCACAATTCTAAACTTCCACCATAAAACAGTGAATCCAAATGAAGCACCGAGTTGACGTAAACTTGGGGATGTTGCCTTATTTGGTTCTGGCCTGTACTTTTGTCACGCCCTAAAAATGACATACAGACCAGCCCACTGGTTCACTGGAACAAGAACATGAATAGAGGTAGATGGAAGACAGCAGTTTAGCTGTTTAGCCTACAGTTGGGTTTACTTCTACAAGAATTACAAAGCAGGCAGTTTCTCGTTTGAAAATGAGCCAGAACCACAGGCGTAAATGCAGCGTTCCAGGCTGACTGGAGAAAGACTCAACAGGCTTGGATTATTTTTGTGTATCAGAGGATCCCTGCAAAGTTTGATGCTCAGCTGTTCATTTGCCGCATTTTACCGAAGAAAACTTTGAAAATCTTGGACAGTTCAAAGCAGGATTTGCTAAACTTCTTTTACTGAAACGAGAGGCTATTCCAACCGTAAGGCCATCACAACCGCAAGCTGGAAGTAGCATCAAAAAGGTATGAAAAGTAGGACATGTCCGGGAAAAAGAGGACGTCTGGTCACCCTACCATATCAACAATTTCATGTTTCAGTGAATGAGTGCTTGTTGCTATGATGCATCTTTGCTGAGCAGCTACGCTCGTAAACCAACCAATCAGAGCACAGCTCATCCAAATATTCATGATCAAACCATAAAAGGAAGACCCATGTCGTTTCATTCTAGGGCTTTTAACCAGGCTTGCATTAGGGCTCAAAGAACAGCAAATATGCCATTTTCAGCCCAACC